ATTTGGTCACTCAATCTATGACTGTTTGTGGGATACTGCTGTGCGCAATTGGCTGCCGCGTTTCATCAGAAAAATACAGTCAATTCACTTTACAGTATATTTTGTGAAGTGTTTTGAGACGTCTCGAAGATGGGAAAAGCGCTATATCAAATGCAAGGATTGTTTATTATTATTATTACATTGTAGCTGTGGGAAAAAACCTTGTCATTTCAGCATTATTTTGGGGCATGTGGGAAATGGGATTAGCATTACTAAAATGACAATGAAGGGTATACTTACTGAACAGCAAATTTTTGAAACTGAGAAAATGAATCCCATCTGAACTCGAAATGTAAGGATCACATGTCAAGGGACACTACATTTTTGGCTTAGTTGATAGCAATCCTAACCGAAAGTTGTGCGTTTGGATTTGAGTTCATAATCTAGGTTGACATTCCAATGTTGTATTATTGGAAGTGCTCTTTTGGATGAGGCATTAAACTGAGATTCTGCCTGTCTGTTCAGTCTAACAAGAAGATCCCATGTCACGTTTTGAAAAGAGAAGGAAGCGGCTTCTTCTGATGTCCTGGCCAAAAATCGTGTGGAGAATTGGTCATTCATTTCATAGCTGTTTGTGGGACCGACCAGCTGAGCCTGTTATGCACAACTACGGCAACTCCAGTAATCATCTTTTGTGTATTTCCAAATGCAGAGTTGAAATACTCACTATAGGAAGCAATCTTGTTTTTGGTTGTGTGTGTGTGTATGTGTGTGGAGGGTGAGAGAGGAGAGGTGTGAATTCACAGCTGAGTCTGATTGTTTTATCACCACACACCATACCAGTGCCTTCCAGCAGCAAGACTACTTAGCAATCAAAAGCTGGAACCCTGCTGTACTTTTTCCTTCTCTTCCCGCTCTTCAAAGTTGAAGCTAATTATAGTTTCTTCCCCACCGCCCAGTTGAAATGGGCAAACTCAGCGCATGTATATTTTTGGGGTATGGCTCAAAGAAGCAATTTAACTGTTCTAGAAGCTCTCTGCATGTACGGTATGAAGTCCTGCAAAATGCAACTCATCTGTCAGGCACAGAAATATTTTCCTGTGGTTTTATGTTCTTCCTCAGGGCAGTCTCTGAAATTATGCTGTGGTACTTTAAAGTTTATCTCTCATTTGGGGGCGCTTGAATGGAGTTGTAGATTGATTATTATAAAACTGTTTGAGGCCAGGTCTTGAATTGGACTTACTGGGGATCTCTGGCCTTCAGTAAGGGTTTCAGCACAGTGGAGTAGTAAATGACATTTATGCTAAAAAGTACTACATTGCTATTTGAAATCCACTTTGTTCTTACCCTACCTTCCCTGAAGGTATTTGCTTGCATATCTGTATTGCCTTTCCTCAATGGTGACTTAAAGATCCACCACTTTCTTATTGATTAGTGTGCACAAATTTGGTTTTGAAAAGCTAATTACATGCTAAACACAAAGAAATATATAGTAACAGGAACATAAAAATGCAAGGACTTTTTGGTGCTGTGTGTTCACAAGAAGATTTGCAGTTCCTTAATAGTGATTCATTAAAATACAATGACAGTTATTGGCATGTACTTCCTCAACTATTTGGAGAGCTCCTTTTACCTATGACTAACTCAATGAAAAGCACCATCTCAGTCATATGAAAGGTACTGTACTTAAAATGGTTATGTATGACTACAAATTTATTAACAACTATGCCTTGTTTTTAAATCGACTATTATTCAAATTGAAATACAGTTCTTAAAACCATTGAAAGTTTTATTTCTGCGCGGCACATCATAAATCTGCCTATATGGAATTGATGCATAAAGTATTTCAGACTCTACTGGGTCTGTTGCAGGAAGGGGAGAAGAGAAAGTATGTGTGCAGTCACAAAACAGAAATTCCCACAAAAGCTGTGGATATCAGTGATTTAGGTTGGTGTATTGAATAAGTGAGAGCAGATGGCAACATTTGGGAAGGAGGATATGAGCAGCAATTGCACTTTTGCATTTGAACAACCCAGTAAATCTGAATGTTTGCCTACAAGATGTACAGTCATTATACTTTACAGTGAATCCTGTAAATCTGCTTCAAAAACGCCTTTTCTTTTGAACTCCCACTGTCCCATTTTGGAGGTGGGATAAATCTGTTGTTCAAAAAAAAATCACAAAAGGAACAGAAGATTGAATATTGTTGGGGCTGCACCTCAGATGATACTTTCGCTAATCTCTGGGGTAATTTTCAATTGCAAATCAAAGTTCTACTGGCTCAGCAATGCAAATAGTGCTGAATTCTGACCATGATTTGATTCTCCTCCCCCTCCCTCCCCGATTTCAAAATTTCCTTTATTTAACCCATGCTTCAGTGATATTTAGTATATTTAAATTCTAGATTATTTCAGTGGAGATGCTGTGCAATATTGCAATACTGTGCTTTCATCTGAAATTGATGTAGAAGCATACTTCTCCAGCTTTTTGGAGTAGGACTAGGTTTCCATCTCCGATCAAAAATGGAAGCAATTTATTGTCTTAGTCTTAGCAAAAAAAAAGCTTAGCTCTTTTTCCCATTTTGCTTGAGTAATGTTGAATAGTTCACAGCTGAGCAGATTTCCTAACCTCTTGTACCAACTGGCTTGTAATTCTCAATTAAAAATAGTGCCTCAGCACATTTACTCGAAACAGATTAACTGGTTATAGCATTCCATTCTTGGGTAGAAATTACTTAAGCAGCATTCACTAGTATTTAAAGCATTGGCCTTGAACCCAAATTATGAGAAATTAGCATTCAATCTTGTTTTAAAATTAAAATGTGTGATCTGTGGTGCAAATTACATAGATATATGTAAAGTGTTCATGATGTAGATCTATGGGTTAATTGCAAAACTGATTAACCTGCATGTGGTTAGAAATTGGCAGCATGCCCCCTTTTCAATTTTTAGCAAGAATGAGTCTTAAGAAAATTGACATGATAAAGAATCTAATTATGAATTGAAAATAGCAAATTAATAAGCAGTGGTTGAGAAATGAAAAAAAAACTAAATGACATTTAAGCAAGTTTTGGAAAATAACAGTTGTACTGTATTTAAAACTGCATAAAAATAAGGGATTTCTAATGTAAGGGGAAATGTTTATGTGATTAGCCAATTGTGCATGAGTAGCCCAAGCCCCTTTGAATTTTTCTGCCAATTATATTAGGATATTTTTACCTCACCTTTTAGTGTTAAGTTGATGCTGAAGTGCAACATGAATCAACAGTGAGTAGGTAGCATTTCTATAGAGCCTTTCACACAGAGTAAAGCTTGGACTGATTTACAGGGACAGGGTCGGATCTCAAGCAAGTGAGCGGGGGGAGAGAGAGGTGGTAGTGGGCATGTTCAAAGAGTAGAATTAAAGGCGGGACGTAGATAGAAAGCGAGGGGATGTGTGGTGGAGGGAGGAAGTTTGAGGTTGGGATGTAGGAAATGAAGACTTGGCTACTGATGGTGGCAAAGAGAGGGCGTGGCTCATGTTGAAAGCTTGAGGTGGCTAAGCAGAGTGGCCAGTGGAGGAGTAGGGTAAGTGGTTGGACAGATACGGAGATTACAAGAAATGGATGGATTGGTAGGTGAGGACCTTGATCCACTGGGAAATGGAGAGATGGTCGAGACTGGCAAGTAGCAAGGTGATGGCTTTATAATGGGGAGTGAATGCCCAGAAAGCTTCTGCATTGTGACCCCATTGATCTCATGACTGAACTTTCACTCTTAAAAAACATTCCTTGGCAGTTCATTAGTTGCTGTTGGAAGTGAATAGAAATTGGCAACATGCCGCTTTCCAGCAATATAAAAAAGGAAGTAAAATGAATTTGTAGGGAGATCAAATTTACCAGAGTTCAGTTTTTTAAAAAAGTCAAATAGCTCAATGGAATAGAGACTTGTGTTCCTCTGATCTCAAATGTAATAGGATGCAGATCGCACCTGTGCTTTTTCAAGGTGAAGTTGCAATTTCTTTTGTCAGGGATGCCTCCTAACCGTTCTTGGAAGTGGGCCAGGGAAAAAGAGAGAATAAGTGGGCGTTCACTCATTGCAAAGAATAGACACCATCTAGTGGACACCTTGATTGGTAGTGGTCTAAACACAAAAACAACAAATTACATTTGTATAGTACCTTTCACGTCAGGAGGACTTTCTAAGGTGCTGAAACATAAATACCGTTTTGTAGGGGAGAAAGCTTTATGCCTTGAACGGCAAAATACTAATGTGAACAAAACATTTGGTTTCTTAAACACAGCCATGATCTTAATTGTGCTTGCATCAATATGTTCAAGGAATTGAATTGTTGGCATATTTTAAAGGGCAATTACAGACAAAAAGAATACTTGTTGAGCGAACCAGTCCTCATCTATACATCTTACTTTGGAGGAAGTTATCGATCACCTTTTAAGATTTTAGCCCAATGGTGAAAAAATCATTACATTATTGGTTGGAGAAATTCACTTTCTAATTCTCTCTACCCCTTCCCCCCACTTACACATTTTATAATTTAATGTTGCAAAATCCTTTCAGTTGGTATGTATGGGATGTTTGGTTAAGACTTGTATGCAGAGATTCTCCAGATGTTTTCAACTTAAAAGCACAGGGGAGACTTCTTTAAAGTGCATTTCGAAAAACTTGAAACATTCTAGACTTTTAAATCAGTTAATAATTAAAATGAATAATTCAGATTAGGACAACTGGTCAGTTTGCTAATTCAGACCCTGCTCCAAATGTATATGATTTACTTATAATGTGTTTGCTCTACTGAGTTTTGTCACAGAATTGAATTGCAGTTTTAGATGCGGATGGAATGTTTACGGCAGTTGTTTTTTGGTGTTTCTCTATTGATTGGTACTTATCCCCCCACGTAGCCTTTACTCGATTGCATTCGATATGTTGCAAATTACAGCACTCCAATTTCCATGTAGCAATTCACCTTGTGAACTATGGAGGTGAATGCATCTCTACATCATTGAATTTGATATTTTTTTACAGGTCCATTTACAGATGTAGTAACTACAAACCTTAAATTGAAAAATCCAACAGATAAAAGGGTATGTTTCAAAGTGAAGACTACAGCACCACGCCGATACTGTGTACGGCCAAACAGTGGGATAATAGATCCTGGATCAACAGTTACTGTATCAGGTATGCATTATTTGCACAATTTTTAAAAAATCAAAATTAAAGCTTTTTTTGTTCTCTTTTCCCTCTTCCCACAGGAATGCATTACAATTTGCAGTTTTGAAGTCTCAGATTGTAAAATGCCCGTTTGTTCACAAATAACAGTATTTATATTAAACTTGTCTAGTATTTTGTAGTTTATGTTCCTGGTCTGTATTTAAAAAAAAGTGACAGATTCAAATGATCCATCTCAGAAGTTCATATTGTCCTACATAGATGGTTCATTCAGTTGAACTGTGACTAGTACGGGAGATATTAGATATATTGCATTGACTCAGATGATTGCTCTTATTTTTTGTGCATGTTTAATAAATTGCATCCATCAGGTTTCAACCAGAAGGGCTGTTTTTTCCACCTTTGTAATTGAAGTTTTTTTTCCTTGCATTACGCTATCGCCTAATTCAACCACTGGTTCAGGCAGCGAGTTCCACAACCTCTTTTAGGTCCTCAAATTTCTATCTTATATTTGTGTCTGGTTATAGACTTGCCTAACCAGTGGAAACAGTCTATTTATGTTAACTTTATTGACCCTTTATAATCTAGACTGTAGACGGTATTTTTCTTTTTCTTGAAGTGAATTGCAATTCTCCAGTTCTCTGGCAGCATTCCTTGGTTTAAATTAAAATAAAAACTATCAACGCATTTCACACACGACCTTTTTGTTTTTAATCTCAAAAAGTATTAGGAAAGAATCTACTTTGATTTGAAATGGATAATGGTCAACCATCGAAATTCGTAATGCCACTAACATCTTGTGGGTGGATTTTCTAAATGGTGGGGTAGGGGGTGTTCTTATGATTTTTTTACATGTAATGTTAGGGATGTGGCTATCAGCACACCCAATCTTTTTTTGCTATTTTATAAAATGATGGCATATCCTGTAATCCCATTTTCTGTAATTTCATTTTCTCCATATCTCTAAACTAATCCATACCATACCAGAAATAATAACCTGCAATTCTCCACTCCCTCTAAATTATTATTAAATTCCTTGTTCATTTTCTGGACTATCCTGTGGATTAGAGGTGGTGATGAAAGGTCAGCCTTGAGCCGGCTCCAAGGTGACATGCTCGACAATTGTATGCTGGAATCAGTTGACCCTTTGTGGTTGTCTGAGTCATCCGATTCCTGAGCCATGTGATTTCGCAGCGCTCCAGGGCACTACTGAAGAAAGGCCGACCAGAATGGTTCACCGGCAGACCAGTCACTGGGAGTAGGGATCCTTCCCACTCGGCTGCTGTTAACTCTGCAAACTAAAGCCCTAATGGGTAGAGTGGTCCTTGTTGGACAAACAGTTGGAAGCTTGCCAAACAGTTCTCTCAATGGTAAACTATGTGATTTTAACTAGTTAAGCTTCAGAAGTACCCAATCTCAAACTGGGGCTTTCAAACCCAACCTGTGCTGAATATTCTTCAGACCTAGGTGTGTCCCTCCAGGGAGAGAGTGAATCTCTGATATGGAATGAAGATATCGAAACATGTTTTGCAGTTGCAAAGGAATTGTAATGGATTCTCCATTACATATATCTAATATACTTGTTATGGTTACAGCATGTGAGTTCATGTGAAAAAAAATACTAGCTCAATTCAGGAATATTTGGTAATGTACATTTGTTTCTCTGCTTCACCACACTCTTATTTTTTTATTTTTAGTTCTGACAAAACAGAAAATTCTTCCATCTGTACCTTGGATTTGTAATTCTTGCCACTAGATTGTTTACCTAGCTCGTACAGTATGTTGAAATGAAATCTAGTTTCAAGTGCTGTCTGAAGCCTGATGGAGCACTGTATTCTTGTTTCTGCATTGCCACCTGGTGGTGGAAGTTGAGTGCCAAAATGAAGTTTGCCATCTGATTACTTGTATTCTGTAGCCCTGAAGTACATTGCTTCAAGATTCCAGATGGATACAAAAGAATCTAAGATTTTCTTGTGGATACCATTACCTGTAACTCTCAAATAAAGCCCTCAGCATCCACTACCTCATCCTGGATGAGCACCTTAACATTCTTGGGCTCACTGAAACCTGGCTCCGTCCCCCTAGTGGAAGCCTCCCCTCCAGGCTACACCTTCCACCACACCCCCCGTCCAAGCCAATGTGGCGGCGGGGTAGCCTTCATTTCCAAAGCCTCCCTTGGTCTCACCCCCTACTCCTCTGGCTGCTTCCGCTCCTTTGAGCACCTCACCCTCTTCCACCCCTCTCTCCCATTGAAAATCCTCTTTGGCTACCGCCCCCCCTAAGCCCCTCGGCTCCTTCCACACAGACATCTCTACCCTCCTCTTCCCTATCCCTCTGCTCCGAACGCCTGCTCATAATGGGCGATTTCAACCTCCACCTAAACTCCCCTTGCACCACTTCTAGCGATTTCATTGCCCTCCTCTCCTCCCTAAACCTTACCCTTCATATAAATTCACCCACCCACAACCGCGGTCATGCACTTGACCTTGTCATCACCCATGGCCTTGGCATTTTCAACCTCAGCATCATCTCCTCCTCTCACATCCCTCTCTCCTCCACCAAGCCCTCAACCATCCTCTACCGCCTTTGGAAAAGACTATCCCCTGAGACCCTCACAAAGACCCTCTCATCATCAAACATCCTATCCTTCTGGCCTTCCACCCGCGGAGATCCTGAAGTAGCCGTCCAGCTGCTCCATGATCGCCTCTCCTCCACCTTCAACTCCCTTGTCCCCCTGAAATCCAGGACTATCTCTAAATCCACCCGATCCCCTGGTACAACAACCATCTCCGCCGCCAAAAAACCCAAACCCGTCTGTTCGAGCGCAGATGGCGAAAACTGGCCTGACAGTTCACCGCCAACTGTGGCTCAAGTATCTCCACAGCTACCGCCGTTCATTGACATGCGCAAAAACGGCCTTCTACTCCAACATCATCTTGGAGGTTAAACGCAATCCTAAAATTGTTTTTTCCACCACCCACTATCTCCTCCATGCCCCCCTTCAGGCCTCCCAAATCTTTGTATCAAATGCCAAGTGCGAGAAGATCATGGACTTCTTTTCATCTAAAATACTTAACATCCGCCAGGCAGCCTCATCCACCTGTACCTTGTCACCCACCACCACGCCCTCTCTGTCCCCCTCACCCTCCTCATTATCTGCTCCTACCACCACCCCCATTCTACATTCCTTCCTCCCCAACTCTCCCTCCTCCCTCTCACCCACGATCACCTCCATGAAAGCCACCACCTGCTGCCTCGACCCTCTCCCCACCAACGTACTGGTCAGCCAGATCCCCCTCCTCTGCCCACTACTGGCTGACGTCATCAACCAGTCCCTCTCCTCCGGATCAGTCCCTGCCTCCCTCAAAACTGCTGTCATCACTCCCCTCCAGAAACAACCCTCCCTAGATCCCTCAAACCCCAGCCACTACTGCCCTATTTCTAACCTGCCCTACCTCTCAAAAGTTTTAGAACGCGCTGTTGCCAATCAACTTCACGCACACCTCTCCTCCCACTCTCTCTTCGAACCCCTCCAGTCCGGTTTCCGCCCTGCCCACAGTACAGAGACTGCACTTGTGAAAGTCACAAATGACATCCTCTCTATCTGTGACCAGGGCTCCCTCTGCCTCCTTGTCCTCCTGGACCTCTCCGCTGCGTTCGACGCAGTCGATCAGGCCAACCTCCTCCACCGCCTTTCCTCCGTCATCCACCTCAGTGGGTCCGCACTCGCCTGGTTCAAGTCCTACCTCGCAAACCGCCAGCAGTACATCTGCACAAACGGCTTCTCTTGCTCTCACCTGGTCACCTGCGGGGTACCCTGAGGATCCATCCTTGGCCCCCTCCTCTTTCTGATCTACATGCTCCCTCTTGGGGATTTCATCCGCAGACATGGGGTACACTTCCACATGTATGCAGATGACACCCAACTCTATTTTTCCACCTTTCTTTGTGACCCCAAGTCCCCTGATGTTCTGTCAGTGTCAGATCTCAGAGGCTGGATGAGCGCAAATTTCCTTCAGCTAAACGTTGACAAGACGGAAGCCATAATCTTTGGGTCTCGTCAACGTCTAAAATCTCACAGCTCTCACCTCCTCCACCTACCCGACCTCCCCCTAAAACTCTCCGAACCCATACTCAACCCAGGCGTCAGGTTCGACCCCCAATTATCCTTCCTTCCCCACATCCGGTCCCTCACCAGCACTGCTTTCTTCCACCTCCGACTCATCGTCCATCTCCGCCAATACCTCTCCCCAAAAGCCGCTGAAACCCTGGTCCATGCCTATGTCACCTCTTGGCTGAACTGCTCTAATGCCCTCCTCGCTGGTCTCCAATCCACTACCATTCATAAAATCCAAATCATTCAAAACTCTGCCGCCCGCATTCTCACCCGCACGAAACTCCGCTCCCCGATCACTCCAGTCCTTGCCAGACTGCACTGGCTGCCTATCCCAGAGAGGATCGATTTCAAGATTCTCACCCTTGTATTCAAGTCCCTGCACTCCTCTGCACACCCCCCCCCCCCTCCCTCGCTGACCTCCTCTCCCCTCAAAACAGTACCCGTTGCCTTCATTCCTCCGGGTCTGGCCTCCTCCTCATTCCTCGAGTCCTCCGCTCCACCCTCGGCGGCTGTGCCTTCAGCCACTATGCCCCGAGGTTCTGGAACTCCCTTCCTCACTCCCTTCGCCTCGCTCCCTCCCTTCCTATTTTCAGGTCTCTGCTGAAGACCTTTCTTTTCGACCGCGCCTTTGGTCACCTTCCTCCCCCTCCCCCTGGCTCGGTCCCGGGATCCGTTACTGTGAAGCGCTCTGAGACGCCATTCGGCGTGGAGAGCGCTATCAAGTTGTTATTGGCATAGATCAGGATAGTAACGTTGTTACACCAAAGTTGCTGGCTCTGTCACAGAGCGGATCGACCAAAATTCTCACACACTCTGCCTTCAGCCACTACACCCCGAATCTTCGGAACTCCCTTCCTCAACCCCTTCGCCTCACCCCCTCCTTCCCTATCTTCAGGTCGTACCTGAAGACCTTCATTTTCGACCGCACCTACGGTCACCTTCCCACTCCCCTGGCTCGGCTTTGGGCTCCACCATTGTTAAGTGCTCTGAGACGCCGCCTGGGGTGGAGAGCGCTATATAAGTGCAAGTTGTTGTTGCCATCCACGCATTCATCATATCTAGGCTTGATTACGCCAATTCACTGCTTGTCGGCCTTCTCGACTCTTCCCTCCACAAGGTCATCTAGAACTCTGCAGCTCGTGTCCTATCCCGCACCAGGCTCCGTGACCCTATCATCTCCATCCTTGTCTGGCTTCACTGGATCTCCCCATCCCCCAGAGGATAAAGTTCAAAATCCTCGTCATTGACATCAAGGCCCTCCACGACCTTGTTCCTGCCTACTTCTGTGACTTGCTAACCGCATATTAACCTGACCGCTCTCTCCGCTCAGCAGGCTATGTAGCCTGTTCCTCATCCCCTGACTGGCCCACCCCACCGTTAGCGGTCAGGCCTTCAGCCTCTCTGCTCCCACCCTTTGGAACTCTATCCAACATTCCCTTTTGTCTCGCTCCCTCCCTCGACTCCTTCAAGGCACGTCTCAAGACCGTTCTCTTCGACCATGTCTTTGGCCACCCTCTACCCTCCCTGATCCCATCCCCCAGCTCAGTTCCAAATCCCTGACTGTCCCGACATGAAAGCGCAAAACAAATGTAATCTTGTGTTGTATTGTTCCTGATCGTTCACCAAATTGTTAGTTATTGTAAATTAATAATGAATGAATTGGTTGGGTGGGTGGGGAGACTTTATTCAATATTTATTCAAAACAATAGAGGAGAGATCTATGATGCTGATTTGTTTCTTGGCTCTACTTAATAATAATAATCCTTGCATTTGATATAGCGCTTTTTACGTCTTCTAGACGTCCCAAAGTGCTTCACAGAATATACTGTAAGGTGAATTGACTGTATACTTGTTGAAGAGTGGGAGTTTTAACTACGGTTATGAATGGTCATTGAAGAGCTTGTAATCCATCTGAATAAGATTTTAAGATAATTGGGGAAGGGGAGAAACTGCATTTTTTAAAATAACATTTGTATTTTCCCTCTCCAGTTATGTTACAGCCGTTTGATTATGATCCCAATGAGAAAAGCAAACACAAATTTATGGTACAGACAGTCTATGTTCCACCTGGTGTTGCAGACATGGAGCTAGTAGTAAGTATCCAATTTGTAAGGATTGAAATGAATGATAATTATGTAATGTGGTCTTTATAATAGCTATTTTTATATTTGCGAAAGCTTTTTATGTTTGCCGTACTTATGTTTAGTGTAATTGTTGATGATTGCCTTCACAAGGCTGGGTTTTTAAACTCTTACATGTACTAGTTGTGCTAATTGCTGAAACACGTAGTTCTTGCAAGTGTGCTATAATATTGAGGTGGCCTGTGCTTTTTCTAGGGTTGGAAGAGAGGTCATTCAAATTTACTTTTAAGTCAAACTATTGCCCACGTTAAGTTTGATGGATCCACTGTAGAACACACAGGGCTTCTCCCTGCAACCTACATCACCTAGCAAAGGAGTAGTTGGGCCCCTTTGTTATGTAAAATCAAGCATGATGATTCATTCTCAACATGCTCCACAAAGCATACGATTAGGCCTTACCTGAACTGTTCACAGTTGGCCATTTCCTCTATGCCACTATTACAGGTCCAGATGTGCTGAAGCAAAATTAAAAGTCCAGTGCATTCTTGCATTATTTATTTTGGTGCTATAGTCTGCTGCGTTCAAATTGCCTTTTAACAAAGTATTTGCTTTTTTGGGAATGTTTACATTGTCTGGAAACCTTGTATCTCAATTACACAAAGGTCCATAGCCAAAATTCCAAAATATATCATTTCATAATGGAAATAACTGGTTCCCAGACACAATTGTCATTTCCACATTTGAATAGTGTTGATGTGGAGATGGATGAAAATTCTGGAGATTTTACTTTATTGCTTTTAGGGTTTAAGGAGAATCTACAGTGCTTTCCCCTCCTCAATAATAATAGTAATAATAATAATAATTCTTGCATTTGATATCGCGCTTTTCACATCTTTTAGATGTCTCAAAGCACTTCACAGAATATACTGTAAAGTGAATTGACTGTATATTTGTGGGTGAAACGCGGCAGCCAATTGCGCACAGCAGTGTCCCACAACAGTCGTGGATTGAAAATGACCAATTTATTATTAGTTTTTTTTTGGAGGGATTATTATTAGGCGTGTGGAGTAAGGAAACTTGCCCAAGGTTTCGTCCTGCCTGGAATTGAACCCAGGTGTCTCGCTTGCAAAGCGAGTGCTCTAACCACTGAACTACACGACTCCACAGTAATAGTAATCCTTGCATTTGATAAAGGGCCTTATCACGTCGGTGAGACATATTAAATGCTTTACAGAAAATACTGTAAAAAGTGAGTTGATTGTATGTTTCGTAAATATACATTATTTATATTATTTCTCAAGTAAAGTTCCATGACATGACTAGGTTTTGTAAGGCTGTGTAAGAAGTTGAGTTGAATGGGCTTTTCTTGACAAGTATTTCTACCTGTGTCAAGTTGTATTAATTTACAGAGGAATATTTTTTATTTCCTCAGTGGAAAGATGCAAAACCTGAAGATCTCATGGACTCTAAGCTGAGATGCGTTTTTGAGCTGCCTTTTGAGAATGAGAAGTCTGTAAGTAAATCGAATATTTAAGGATACTTTTTACAATGAACGCATGAAATTTGTATTTTTCTTCATTGGTGTCTATATAGTTTCATTATTTAAAACCAATAGAACTATAGGCTCTGTGAATTCTTTAATAAGTATCTTGGTTAAAATTAAAAATGAAGGAATGTTAGAAGCCTTTCGCAATTTTCTGTATTTTTCTGTTAGTTGAATAACTTTAGAACACAGTTCTTTGTAAATTGCATTTTGTCATGCTTGTAGTCCAAATTACCCAGAAATGTTTTGTATTAATTTCATATACTATGTCAGTGCTTTTCAAAATGCATCAGATTAATTCATTGTTTTATGCAGAAATTGTTCAGCTAAATTGTTTTCTGTAAAATCCTGTTTAAAATGACAAGAACAACAACAAGATTATAATAAATATATATGCTTGCAGAAAAAATATTTTTATATTTTGCTTGGACTTAGTTGAAGTGTGTATAACAACGGTAAATAAACATACTAAAATTTAAAAGTTAATGGGTCAACCCTTTGCCTGATCGATAAATAAATAATGCTTGCTATATTTTTCTTATTGGAGCCAATTCAATCAAGAAAAACATTTCTTGTGCAATAATTTGTTGCATCAGAGACCTGTAACTATCTTAATGTTCTATAGTCCAAAATACTCAATGCAGATGAAAAATATTATTGTAAGGCTGTTTTCCACTGTTCAAATAGACATTTTAAAATTTCACATTGTGAAATTGCCTACATTCTGCTGTACTTGTTCTTATGTTGTTATTGGGACTTAGTCACTGCATTTGTTATAATCATACAGGAATGCTAATGCTTTTCAAGGTTAACAATGGACTCGGCTTATAAGAAGGGCATGCATTTTGGTTTTATGTACACAATTCACAGGATTTATTTTTTTAAAAAATCTTGACCTGTAAATAAGCCATTGGTGATCATATTGCCAGTGAACAAAACTTGGCAATTCTTTGAGATTTGATGCCAATATTTCAGAGTGTGCCATTCATTTGATAACTCCCTCTCCAAAAAACACTTTGTCCTTCAGGTAAATATATTAAGGCCCTAATAAAGAAATGCAAGCTCTGCTTATAAGATTCAATTGAGACCTCTGTTGTATCTATCCATTTGAAGTTTCACCTATCTAAAGTTTCTTTTCTATATAGCAGAACGAGACTGTAGAAAGTGAACCATTAGAAAGTGGTTTAGGCAGCCCTTTAGATTCAGCAAAGATGGATCTGCAAAGTCCTGTGTTCCATAATGACAGTGTTCGACCTCTGCGTGCGGTACCCACACCAGGAAATGTGCTCAGGTTTCATATGCCAACTCGAGGCGCCATCCTCCACACTCCACTCAGTTCTAGCCAGAGAAGTGACCTGCAGGGATTTGTATCTGCCCCAGCCAGTGAAATGAGAATGCAAAAGGTTCAGGTCTGTTCTAGTGAGCAAGTCGTTCAGTTTAGGTTTAATACAAGTTGAAGATGGGAAGAAGAAAGGGAATATCACTGTACTGTATAGATGTTTATTTCTGTGAAATTTGGTGTAGAATTGTTTTTTTCATCATAAATAATCGATTTATAGATTAATGGGAAGTTTATCTGATATGGTAGCTACAAAAGGAGATCTATAATATCTATAATAACTATCTATAATTTAACGTGTTATATGGATGTGATATGTGTGAATCTTAATAAAACTCTTTAGATCTAAATTGGGGATGACTAAATGTTCACCTAGTGTAAAACTTGCAACAACAAATAATGGGAAGTTTAAGATGTTTTGTTTGTAAATGTCCATAGTTTGTTTTCTGGATAGGTTTTGTGGATTCACAAATCTTTAGGTCTGAAGTAATTTTTCATTTGTGGTTTTCTGTTAAAACAATTGAATCTTTACATTTGCTTTTGTTGAAGTTTATAGATTGTATTACTAACTGACATAAGTAAGATTAAACCAGTGTTCATGCATGAGGTGTTGCTTCTTTTGGGGCATGTACATTGAAATTGAGTCGCTTAATGAAACTACAATAATAAAGTAAGAAAACCTCAAAATATTTAAAGAGAAAGATATTGATTATTTGTTGCTCCAACTTTAGGTTAATGGATACTGGGTTCCATAATTTTAAAAATTAAACTTGCATGTACTCTTCGTGTGGGAATAAGTTTCTGATCTTTTCATATGTGTGGAGTCTTGTGGAAATAAATCCAACAAATATACCTGAAAATTCACCAGCAACATTTTGTTTTGGAAACATTTGCAGAATGATCTTGAAATGAGCAAATCTGCTACAATAACAAATGCATCCAAACCAGATGGACCTGCAGTGCCAAAATCTGCCAGTGCTTCACTGGATGACACTGAAGTGAGGAAACTAATGGAAGAATGCAAGAGACTTCAATCTGAATTGATGAAAATGACAGATGAGAATCGACAACTGAAAGTAAGCTTTGTAAATTCTTTATATTTTAAAAAGTTTATTTTAGGGAGTTATTTATGTATATTGATGGAAGTATCTGACAAACCTACAGATACTAGAAAAAAATCGGTGCCTAGTCACACTAAGAGGAATCTTACAGCAATGAAATGGGTTATTCTGCCCAGCTAGCCTGGGCCTATGTTTATACTCCATGAGACTTCAACTCTCCTATTCCCTTCTCCCTCCCTCTCTATTGCCTTCTCTCACGAGGCATCAAGTTTTTTTCCTTGGGACCAAGTAGAAACAAATCAATATCCAAAAATGCAACGATTATCTTAGTGAATCCTTTCAGAATTTAAACACCTATATCGGGTGTTATTCAGATTGAATCTTGTTTTTCATGGGAGAGGATAGATTATAATATCTCTACTACTATAATATCGATCTAGCTCTTTGAAACATCACTCTTGATTCTGCCTCTGTAGCTTTCTGGGATAGAGCATTCCCCATCTTTCCAACATCTTCCTGTCTTCGTAATTTACATTACTGCCTAGCTTAGTGTCGTCTGCAAATTTAGAAATAGTCTCCTCTTCTCTTGCAAGCAGGTCATCGATATATAGGATGAAAACCTGGGGCCTCAGCACTGATCCCTGAAAAATATCACTTGTCACTGCTAACCAGTGGGTGAATGTCCCTTTTATACCAACTCTGATTTCTACCTCCTATCCCATGACACCATATTAACTTGAACTCCATGTGCTGCTGTTAATCTTTTATGTGGCACTTTATTAAATGCCTCCTGAAAAATGCATATCAGTGATATCTATTCAATTCCCCTCCCCCTTATCTTATTTTAAAATGTGGTACATAAGTCATTCCTTTTGTAGCTGATAAATCTAGCAATGCCACTTTGAACCAATTCAAATTGTATTAAATTGGTTAGAATCAGTTCTGGATTTCACTCATTTGACCAGTAACATAAATTCTACTGTTGGCATTAGAAGCTTTCACGATTGCTTTGTGCATGAAAAAGTCTGCAAATGATATATCAATTTAGTTTTGGAATTTGCTTGCTAGGAATGTTTTTGCAATGTGATTGTACAGATTGAAATGTGTACACCACTGTATTAAATAGCATTCCTTGGCCAACTGTGTTGCTGCCAGTGACTCACTTCCCCAGTTGGGGAGAGTCCATCACAGAATTGCAAATAGAAATTTGACCAGTCAGTATTCTGTTGATGTTTTCGTACAGTTATTAGTTGTCTTTCGGTTCTGTGCATGTTTACACTCCATCTTCAGACAAATCAGTGCTTTAGAACGGCCTTTAAAAAGGATGTTTGATATGGACATCGTCTAAGGGAACTTAAATTTCATGGTACTGATCTGGAATGTGTGCATATGTGCTATTAGGAAGCATAGTAAATCAGTATGCATCATTGAATCTTGGGAACATAACCAGACAACTTTTATTTGTTTTGATAACTCCATATCCTTAGAGTAACTTAAAATCTCTTAATCTATGGTTTATAACCTACATGGGACAATCTGGGGCCACTTTTATACTTATTTATTAAGAAATCAGTGCACTTCAACTATTCAATTTCAAAGCATTATACTTCAAAGGTGAACTTGCACTGTGCCCTCTGGTCCATTGATATACATAGTCACTAAACTTCACTGTAATATCCTGTGAAGCACTTTCAGACGTCTCGACGACATGATGTGCTGCTATATCAAATGCAAGTATTATTTACATTAATATAGGGTTAGGGATTTCATCGTGGCATCTGTAGTTTAAAAAAGGCATTGTTTTTATTTTCCTTCGTAGATTAAATTTACTTTTTGTAATGCTTATTTCAATTTTATCATCCAAACCTACTGTGCTACCTTGCTTTGAAGTAATAGTATGGGGTTATATTATCCATGCCATTGAATATATTCTATACTTTGATATTTCACCCTCAACAAACCCCTTTCTAGACTGAAGTCCATTTCCTTAATCTTTGAAATTCATCCATTTTATACTTTGCAGCAGTTTTGGTGCTCTTGTCAATCATACAATAAATAAGTTTGGGTTTCCATGGTACATAACTGTATTTTGGTGTGGGTGGTGGGTGGTAGTGGGGGCGTGGAAATAGGTGTGTAAATTAAAATAAATATTTTAAAGTTTGGATTAATTTAAAATTAATTCATTTCTGATCCTCCCAAGACTTTAAATGTAAGTTACGTTTATTTAAGGTAAATTCTAATTAATTACTGATAACTGAACTCCTTTGCATGTTTGAAGTTTTCATATATTGAGAAATGTTTCGAAATGCCAAGGTTTTGCATGATATTGCTAAAATTAGTCCCTTTGGATAGCTTAATTCTATCTGAACTTCTCCAAGTCCATCAACCTGACAATCTCTGAACGGCAGAGATCACTTACAAAATCATTGCACAACTGAATTTGTCTCAGCAGCTAGATTCGTTTCTTTACCGTCTCTCACTCCCATTGGTTTTGGTCCATATTTCCATCACGTTCAAGATATGAATGAATAATTCCAAAGTAAACATTAGTTTTATCCTAAGCCTATTGCACTAACTAAATTTACATTAAGTTGAGTCTCATGAGTTGATTTATAGTCATCCCTGCTGTTTGTCATGAGGCTTGAAGATTTTACCAGTGTATAAATTGCTTATAAATGACAGCAATCAACACGGCTGGCCTCATCTGAAGCGGTCTGCATTTCTCAGGTTATAATTTGTTGGTGAGAGATTGAATGTTGTTTCCCACTTTAGGAATGTAAATTGAGTTATTAAGTGTATTGAAACCTCTCAAGTTTTACCAAGAATGAACTGTCATTAAACATAGGCTGGAACAAAATGTTTTTGCTTTGAAGTTGTTTAGCTCTTAATTCTGGTTTGTTGTGTTTGCACTTTCATTGTGGATTCTCTTCTATCACCTGTTCATAGGAGTTTCATTTTGTAAAGGAATGGGGAGGGAGTGGGGGAGGGATTCAAATTAGTTATAATCCGAGTTCGTTTCTGACTAGTTTACCATCATGGCTCTATTGAACAGGCGACATTTATTCAACAGAAGTTTAAGATATTCCCTAGTTGCTTGTGTGTTTCTACTCTTTCCCCCCACTCCCTTTCTATACAGAATGATGCCCAGAAAGAGGATTGCATTAAGTGCAGCCTGGCCTTCACGGTATTTGACAGACAAAACAATTGTTGTCTCCGATGCCTCGTAGCTCGTGATCATATTGGCAGAAACCAATTCAAATTCTCTACTGTGTAATCAGGCAGAACATACTGGGGAAAAATCTGAAAAATCTATTCCATATGGAGTTGGCAACAGTACGGTACAAAACGTATGCAAACCATCCAAGCGGGTTCTGTTAAGACAAGGCCCATATTATAAAGTGACGAGGCGTTGTCATTCTAAATACAAGCCAATTGCAGGTAGATCCTGAGATAAGGTGGTGGATTCATAAAATTTGGGAGAATTCATAAAATTATACCCTACCTTGTTATGGGAAATCTACAAAAATGCCGTTGGTAAATGCTTCTGGGTTGTTGGGTCACTGCTCATGTCGCTTCATTCACATCTGCACATGAAGCTGACAATCCCTCTGGTATTTCTAGCGATTGCTAGGACCCAGTTATAGCTGGTAAGCTTCCAGCATTACACCAACACATATTCTGGAACTGTCAATATTTTTTTAACCATGTTGGTGAGTTTCTGTATATGCCAGACACTTTGGCTGCCCCCTTCCCTCCCATAAAAAATAATCTGCAAAATGACTGTAACTTCTTCATTAGAAAGCCCCTCACCAATCTGTTTAAACTGACCTGTTAGGGCAATATCTGTAGCTCAGTGGTTAAAGCACATATAAATTGCTTCTGTGAAGCACTTTGAGATGTCTCGAAGATGTGATAAGGCACTATATCAAATGCAAGGATTATTACGATTATTATTATTACCTGAAATGGGGCTACAGCATGGTACAACAGTCCCTTCATTAATTCTGCCAATAACTAGACCTTTTGATTAACCTGGTTCAATATTAAAAACTTTATACACTAAACTGTGCTTGTTTTGTTACTTGGTGTTTTATTGTGACTTGGAACCAGAATTGAGAATTTTTTCTTGCCCTTGAATTTTAGTACTGTATAAGTAAATAAGCTACAATTTTTAAAAAATTATAACCAATTGATAGATCTTTGCCAACTCCGCAAATAATTTTTTTTTTATCAGCCACACGCCAAAACCCATCACTGTGCTTAAGAGTATCCAAACCAAGCTGAGATTTACATGCCTCCAACCTACACATGGAACTCCCACAGATAGATTGTTGGAATGGAATGTGCTCTCTAATTCAATGGAAATTGGGAATGATGAACTACTTTTATTGTACATATTTGTATGTTTGCATTCATTGTGAAATCTATTTACCTGTGAATACATTCTAGCTGAGGAATGTTTTAAATTACACACTAATCCTTACATTTGGTATAGTGTATGTGTTTAAGCTTGAGTTCGTCTTAATTCAGTATTTGATCATTGCAATAGTGACCTCGTACTTGCGTAGGTAGCCTCCAGGGAGTACATCCATTTAAAATGGTGGAGCCCCGCAGTTTGTATGTCGAGCCTTTCACTAGCTGTAATTGATCTTGTAAATGCATGAATTGGGTAAATTACCTCAAATTTCAGCTGGTACCAATTTACAAAATATGTAAATTCCCCAAGCCTATGAATTTGTAGTTTCCAGCCCAAAATTAAGCCTGTAACAGGGGTGGAGGATTGCTGCTGCTACCTCCTGTAGTTACCATTGCCGTTAAATAAAATAAAATAAAAAATTGTACCTACATAGTGGATATGCTCTGATGGCAATATTCCAGCTTGTTGCCGCTTGATTGAAGTACAGATATGCTGATGCTATATCCATAGTAATTTGGGGTTGAGATTTTATTTGGCTTTTTTCCACTAAATGATATGGCAATATAACAGAATTTGAAATTAAATCTTGATTACATTCAGTGTCTAAAATACAGAGATATTTTATTAGTTTATTTTCTGATGTTTTGGATAGCTACAAATGATCCACCAGACTTCAGATATCTGTGACTCCAGGACATGGACAACCTGAATAGATTTTGTTGAATAGATTTCAGCTTGATCATATGGATGAGACCACTGCTCTAGCCTAGTGTCAGCCTGGTTCGGTGATAGCGCTCTCGCCTCTGAGTCAGAAGTTTGTAGGTTTATGCCCCACATAGGGATTTGCAGTGACACTTCAGTGCAGTGCTGGGGGTATGTTGCATTGTCGGAGATTACTGACATTCGGATGAGAAAAAACTAGGCTGTCTGCCTGTTCAGGGGGATATTGAAGATCCATGGCATGATTCAAACAGAGAAGAGAGTTTCTCCCGGTGTCCTGGACAATAATCCTTGAATTAAATTGGTCACTCACTCCGTGGCTGTTTTGGGGATATTGCTGTGCACAAATTGGCTGCTTAGTTTCACACACAAAATACAAAGTCACTCCACTTTACGGTATTGCCTGTGAAGTGCTTTGAGACATCTCGGCAATGTGATTAGGTGCTATATCAAATGCAAGGATTATTATTTAGCCTAATTTACTGTTGAGTATCTTTTTTAACTGTCTTAAATGTAGTTAAAATCTTTTCAGTGTCCTTATGTGTGAATTGTTTGCCAAAGTGAAATGAACATTGTGAGATATAGTTTCTCTCTCTCTGCTTGAAATTTAGCCTTCATTTCTAACCGATCTGCAATTATGCTTGAAAATAGCCATAGATGAATCCCTGGTGCAAAACTATTGCTGCAGTTCTGAAAGTTATATAACAGAAGCTTGGTGCTTAGTTCTTTGTATTTTGTTTTGTCCACCAGTCTGTAAAATCTAACTAGCTTCCACTGTGGTGCCCTTGAATGTTTATTCAAGAAACAAATCCATGCATTCTGATATAGCTCCTTATCAGGTCATTGAGACATTTCAAAGCGCTTCACAGAATATATTGTAAAGTGGATTGACTGAGTATTTTGTGGGCAGCCAATTGCACACAGCAGGGTCTCACAAACAGTTGTAGATTGAGTGACCAAATGTTTTTGGGGGAGGGATTATAAACCCTAGAAAGTGATCTTCCAATCAACTAACAACCGGGTTCTTACTAACTGATAGGTAAACAGAGGTGCGTGGGGTAAGGAAACTTGCCTAAGGTTTTGCCCCGCCTGGGAATCGAATCGAATCGAACCCAGGTCCTCTCGCAGGCGAGAGAGCTAACCACCATTCTACGGGACTCCACAGTCCAGTAAAATAGATGACATCGTACAGTTCTAGACCTGATTAATTGTTCTAATGGCAAGAGCTTCTAAAAAAGCTTGTTACCAAACAGTTTCAGTGTTTGGCATTGACATTTCTGAAATGCTACACTTTTGTGTGTGTTTTTTTCCCCCGATGTAACTCTGCTGTTTTTCTTTCCTGTAGGATGATGGACTGAGACTGAGGAAGGCAACTCAGTCAGGTAACCCAGTGTCCACATCTCACGTCGCACTCAGAGACAACGGTTCCACTGCTCTCCCCTCCCTTCTCGTTGTAATTGCAGCCATTTTCATTGGATTCTTTCTAGGGAAATTCATCTTGTAGAAGAAGCATGCAAGCGTTTGGCCTGAAAATGTTCTGTTGATCTGCCATATTATTGGTAGTCTGGCTCACGGTGACCATATTTGTGTACAGCATCTTACAGGCCTTGCCTTTAATGATCTCTCACAGTTAGAACACACAAATTATTTTCAGTTCCTGGATAATTGGAGTTGTACATTGTCAAAACATCAATAGCAGGTGTCTCAAGTTTCACATAAAGTCCTTAAAAAATAATGAGTTGTTCTCTCTGTGGTTTAATAAGAGTTGAATGAAATGTTAAGTGTCTTGTAAATGTTATTTTAATCCTTTTAAATTTTGTTACCTGTTGCTGGATTACCTCTTGAAATTCTTCATTTTATAGTCGGGTTGCTCATGCCACTTGTTTACCAGTGACGAGAGGTGTACTGAAAAAAAAGGTGCCTCCTTGTAAATTATCCCATTTCCCTTCCTTGCTGCTGAAGGCTGACCAGTTTATCAATGCAGAGTTTCTCCCTAGCCACAGAAATGTCCCCAATGTGAGGCAAATGTTGATTTGAAAGCTGTCCATTATTACCAATCCTGTCCCATGGTATTTAACGAAAATAAAATCTTTAACACATTAAACAAAAGGTCTGCTTTTTTTCTTCTGTCTCACTTTATTTTTTGACCTAAAACTCTCATGGTGAACAGTTTCCTGACACTGAAAAAGTAAAATTTATAGACTTGAATTATTCTACTTAAAAATATTAATCTATTCCTCATCCTCAGACATCATCAATAATAACAATATAATAATAATCCTTGCATTTGATATAGTGCCTTATAATGTCGTTGAGATGTCCCAAAGTGCTTCACAGAATATAATGTGGAGTGAATTGACTATTTTGTGGGTGAAATGAAATATCAATCCTGGACAGAAGCTACTAAGTGAAGAAGCTACTAAGTGAACTTACTAGGCTTTTCCTACATGCTCTGTTATCTGATGTTGCAAGATCCCATTTCTTTGACAGACTTCAATATCTCCAGCTAACTATTGTCTTGTAATTCCGACTAGAACCTGCCACACTTTTCAATGAGCATGTTTATCAGCTAATGACTAATCTGGTATGCACATATGTGGAGTGGTGAATAGCGTAGTTGTATCAATGAGAAGAAACCTTTAGACTCATTGAATATTACAGCACTGAAGGAGGCCATTTGGTCCGTCGTGCCAGTGTCAGCTCTTTGGAAGAGCTACCCAATCAGTCCCACTCCCCCGCTCTTTCTCCATATCCTTGCAAATATTTCCTTTTCAAGTACCTATCGGAAATGCTGTACTCTCCAATGCCTTGGGACGTCCTCCTGATGTGAAAGGAGCTATACAAATGTAATCATCTTGTTGTTGTAAACAGTCCAACTAGACTGCTAGCCTTTTATAAAGATTCTGGGCTCCAACTTGGGGTATTTCTTAATGGGATCCTTTCATGTGGAATCCTGTTAAAATTCCAGATGGGCAAAGGGAACTTTCCACAGCAGAAGTAAATCCATTCTTCCGTTGAGTCCTTATTAAGGAATCCCGTTGAGAAATACTACAAAGCAGTGTAGGTAGGCAGTGTATTTCAAACCGTAAAAAAAAAATTCTCATCTCCCCTCTGGTTCTTTTGCCAATTATCCTAAATCCATGTGCCCTGGTTAAAATAATTTGTTTTCATATTTCAACCTAATAGCACTCTTTCCACCCAGAAGAGTTCCATTATAAACAGTTAATCGGCAGGGCTGCTGCTATAGTCTGTATTTTCTTTAAGGAACAGTATATTTCAGTAGGCTGGAGATGCAAATTTTAATTTAAATGTGAAGCATTCCATGACTCAATAACATATGGGATCGGGTGAAGTATATTGCTTTGTGGTTCAATACAAATATTTTTAACTTGCTTCCCGCTGATACCACTCAATGAGGATCTATGGTAATTTAAGATCTAGAGCTTGCTGGACGTTTTATTTGGGTCATCTTTCCTCTCCTCGCACTCTTCAACTCCTACCTCATGGATCGAGTGTCCAGTCAGTAATGTAAAGCACTTTGAGACGTCCTCCTGATGTGAAAGGCGCTATGTAAATGTAAACTTTTCTGTTAATTTCAAAGATGGTGAACCTAATTCTTAGTTCAGATAACGTGCATAAACCCTATGGCCCTCGCTGTCTAACATAATCCTTTGTTACATCTTGTATAATTCTACCTTCTAACCGCTCAGCATGATGTATTCAGCTTCATTACTGCTGCTGTATCAAATGCTTCATGGCTGAAACCTACTGACAAATGATCCATCTGCCACTACAATTAAACACAATTTCGTGCCATGATAAACATTGCAATGCAAGCAAGAGGGAGTTGGGCATTTTCAGGTTTTATTTCCCCAGAGGTGTACTTCCATTCAGTTGTCTCTACCCAACAGCCTGACTGGGAAATAGTTTCTCTCTCACTCTTTATTGAGATTAAAGTGACTGAAAACTAAGTAGCCAGCTTTGGGACAGTAGGCAATGCTGATAAGTTAGCCACCATAAATTTTCTAGTACTAGTTTAAATGGGGCTCTTATTACATCAGGTTATTCTATGGCAAAACCTGTTCAAGGATAATTTTGCAAGGATTTCCAAGCTAGTTACAGAGGGAGTTCTTTCCTGTGGTGGGAGGACACTGTGAATAGGGAAACTGACTGACCTAAGTATTTTGTGTTGTTCACGGTGGAGATTAAAAATGTGAGCAACAACTTTTGTGGTCGGAAACTTAATCTATAAATGATAGCTAAAGGCACATGATTTGAGAAATGTAAACACTGTCTGATCTGTATCCATGAACATTTTGATAATTATAGAATCGAGTCTACAGTGTAGCACTTTATATTGGTCTCTGGCATCCTAAGTAGAAACTTGATAGTTTTCATATAATTCAAAGTATCTAGTATGTATAGAATCCAATTTCATTTCCTTTTGTCTGTGGCATAAGATGAGTATATAGTAAAATACTGACTTCCTTTAGATATTCATGACCCATTTGTGACTTGTGTGACTAAAAAAAATGTTCGACTTGAATTGCTTTCGGCTTTCTTAGGTGGAAAATCAGTTGCACTAAACTCCCGATAACTCGATCCTCGCTTAACTTGTCACTCCCACTTAAGTCATCATGCTTTGAATATCCTGGCTGCACTTATTTATGTATTTGTACATATGCCTAACTTGCCACTCCTGATAACTTGTCGCAGCCCTTTTCCCTTGGAGCAACGAGTTATCAGGTGTTTACCGTAGTTCATTTAGAAGTTACTTACCCACCATGAAGCTTCCTGACAATGATTTGCATTGCTTGCTGACTATTTTAAATCGATGCATACATACTGTCAAACCTGAGTGTCCAGGCAATTAATCTGATCATGTTGCATTCTTAGTATAGAGTATAAATGTGGGTCCTATCATGTTGTCTATAACAAAGTTTTTGTTGCACATTTGTAATGTAATGGGAAATTCCAATGTTTTCAATAAAGTGTTTTCTAGTTATAGCGAACCATGCAAGTTAGGCGCTGACGTTTTGCACGATGACTAAATTCTTGCTGTTCTAGCAACTGGCACCAGGTGGTGTAGTGGTATCTTTTCCTCTGTACAGCATAACCAAGTTTGTATCAGTGCAATATTAATACCTAAAGAGTGTTTTTCAGTAACCAGATGCATTGCCAGTTATGGTCACATTTTATTGAATGTGAATCCAGATTAAATTGACATATAATATATATGAGTGGGACTGATTCCTTCTCTTCCAATACTGGAGGGACACAATCTAGTCACAGAAAATATTAAGTCCAGGTTCGCAAAAGCCAAAACTTGGGGACTACAAAATGTGCTGGAGTGTAACCCGTTAAAACGGTATAGCTTTGGTCATTGGGAACGCTCACTGACAAGCTAATTCACTCAGCAAAGATCAGTAATGAAACCTGGTCTGTATAGTCTAGTGGTACCCAACTGTTGCCTTTATCCACTGGGTCATTGAGAAGCCATCTATGTGTTGTGTTAAAATAAAACAACCACTTTATCGCGTATGCGACTTTGCAGTAGGTCAAACTTGAACAAAATAAAATAATTTGAAACCGTGTTTAAGAAGTGTTTTACTCTCTAAATGACACTGCTGCTTCTCTTTTGAATGGCATAACAATGGATTGCCATTCAAAGGAGAAAGAGCAGTACCATTTAGACTAGAAGAAATCAAGAACTTTTGTCCCTACTGTGCTTGGAGGCGAACATTTCAGTCTGAGTTGTTAATCGACTCAACCGCTCTTCAAAAATGCACCGAAATACACTTGTTCCGCAGTGCTCTCTTTTCTTTTAATACACTGAAGAAAATAGTTAAACCTAAAGATTAAATATCTGTATATAACTGCTCAAAAATCATTTCAAGCACTGCCAGCAGCCAATGAACAACACCACCACCACAATTACATTTATAGAGTGTCTTTCACATCGGGAGGACATCCCAAAGCGCTGAACAGTCAGAGGTCGGGGCCCGAGCATGGGGGAGGGGTGGTGTAGGGGTGAGGGAAGGCAGAGAGGTGGGAGGGAGACCAAAGGCACGGTCGAAGAGAAGGGTCTTGAGACCGGCCTAGAAAGAGATAAGGGAGGAAGCGAGGCGAAGGGACCGTGGGATGGAGATCCAGAGTGTTGGGCAGAGAGGCTGAAAGCCTGGCCACCGATGGTAGGGCGGGTCGGGCCAGAGTCTGATGAACGGAGGGAGCGGGCAGATTGGTAGGGAGTCAGCAGGTCAGAGGGGTAGGAGGGTGCAAGACCATGGATGGCCTTAAAGGTGAGGCCGAGGATCTTGAACTTGATCCTCTGGGGGATGGGGAGCCAGTGGAGTCGGGCGAGGGTGGAAGTGATGGGGTCACGGAGCCTGGTGCGTGAGAGTACACAAGCTGCAGAGTTTTGGATGATCTGCAGCTTGTGAAGGGACGAGTTGGGAAGGCCATTGAGGAGGGAGTTCCTGTAATCGAGCCTTGAGGTGACGATTGCGTGGGTGAGGGTTTCAGCAGCCTGAGGGGTGAGGCAGTGGCGGAGTCTGGCAATGTTGCCCAAAGGTGGTGGTAGGCAGTGCCGGTCATGGAGCGGATGTGGGGGAGAAAGGACAGTTCAGAGTCAAATAAGACACCCAGGTTCCTGACTTGACTTAGTGAGGTTGAGTGTGTAGCCGTGGAGGCTGATGCTGCCAGCGCCTGAGCTGCGGAGGCGCTGGCGCGAACCAATCAGGAGGGCCTCGGTCTTGCTGACGTTGAGTTGGAGAAAGTTGGCCCTCGTCCAGGACTTGATGTCGGACAGGCAGTTGGTCAGGACGCCAGTAGTCTTGGAGTTCAGGGTGGAGGCAGAGAGGTAGAGTTGGGTGTCATCCACATACATGTGGAAATTTACCCCATGTCTGCGGATGACGTCACCAAGGGGGAACATGTAGAGGGTGAAGAGGAGGGGACCGAGGACAGAGCCCTGAGGAACACCGCACGAGACAGTGCGCGGGGCTGGAGGAGAAACCATTTGCCACGACAAAGTGGACCTTGTTTGCCAAGATATTTCTGTGGCATTGTCATAACCATCTGTATGATGAATGGACGGACGTACAC